CAGCTCTCCTGTCTGCCAACCTGGCCCTGTTCCAGAGATGTGACGCAGGCAGACCTTCCTATCTGGGAGTCCTGTGGGCTGTGCTTCGCTCCAGAAGACAGACCAGGCCACGGCCAAGCTTATTTGCTTTGGCCAGTTCCCCTCCCCCCCAACAATCTTGACACCAGTCACCATGAAGCTAAGGGACCAGGGAAGGGCCAACAGGGCCCCCCAAGGAATGGAAAACCAACCCCCCACACAAACACACACACACAGAGGGAGAAGCTGCATTCTTTGAACGCTTCAAGGTGTTGCCAGAGGACATGCCCTCCCGGCATGGGTAGCTGCAGATCATTCGGGCAGCCCTGGTGCCCTTCTGCATGGGCTTGGGCCTCTCCCAAAGCCATATCTTCACCACTAGAGATGCTATAGTCACTGGAATTCAATCGTATGCAAATGGTCTGTGTTTTATGGACGTAATTAGAAACGGCCGTTGGTTGGTGGTTCAGCGCCTTCAAGTTGGAACCGACTTATGGCAAGCGGCTTTCAAGGCAAGGGCGGCATTTAAGGAGTGGTTTCGCCCATCCTACTCCCCCAGTCAGAGCTTCCATGGCTGAGCAGGGATTCGAACCCTGGTCTCCAGAGTCCTAAACCATCACTCTCTCCACTACACGACGGGGTGGTGGTTCCCAAAATGACTGTTAGCAGGGCAAAATTAAATTTTAACCTACCCTTGGGAAATAGGCCGGGAAGGAAGTATCCCCATGATGGACATCTTAGAAAGTGTGGGGGGGGGCAGGAGGAGAGTCCGGGTGTGGGCGGAGAGTCCGAGGTGTGGTGGCCAGTTTGGACAGAAGAGAGTCCAGGGGCCAGAGGGACGGCTTGGCCTTGGCTGAGGGGGCTGACCAGGTCCTGCCAGACTTTCTTTTGTTATGGAAAGCACCACAGACCTGTTTCCCTGGGAACTGATTGTTGAGATACCTTTTACTGTCAGCCTGCTTTCCCCCAAAGGATGATGAAGAATGTTGAGCCTGAAGGATTGCTTCTGCAGACTGAAGGCAGTTTTGAGAGAGAGAGAGAGAGAATATCCAGGGTCCCAGCTGGCCTGCTCCCATCAACCACAAACACTCAGTTCTTGTTGTGCCTTGCTTTGCAGATCAGAGCTTTAGTGCATCGGGCGTCTGCTGGGCGTTTAAAGCTATTCTCGGCTTGTATTTTTCTAAATATTTTTATGCAAGATATTTTCAAGCTGGTTTTCTAAAGTTTAAAGCTCTCGCTTTTTTAAAAAAAAGCATATTGAATGGGGGCCCCTCCACCTTCCGTCTTGAAGAAGGTGATGAGGAGGCCCAAGAGGGTGAGAAATGATTTTCAAGGGGGGGCAGAACCTCCTCAGCTGCTCTGGACTC